TTGTATAGTTCTCTTATTGATTGTTCTTGGAGTAGTTCTATATTGTATTGATTTTCTCTTATAGTGTTCAACGGTTCTTCTGTAGAAGGGGGTCTTGTTATTTTTCCAATTAATGCCCATTTTTGCTTTCAGTAGTTTATGAGTAGTTGCACATTCTGCTCCTCTTCTGACTCTCACATCTTTTATCTTTGTTTTGGTATCTTGTTTAATTATTACGTAGCTTGTTATCGATTTCAGCTTTCGTGTTTCTTGCATTCATGTATATTTATGAATATTTTTATCTCTGAAGAATCCGTTGGTGATTTTTAGGTTGTTTAGTTCGCATAATTCAATCAGACGTTCTCCGTTATCGTTTTGTTATTTTTCCTTTCTAAAAGTGCAGTTTTGATTTTGTATGGAGTTGTTTCATGCATTAATTCTGATCACTGGTTAGTGATTTTGATGGGCAGGGGCTAATCTTGCCTTTCGTCAGCACTCTCATATTTTTGCGATAAAAGGATTCGACAAATTCAAGGATTTTGGTTCTATGCGTAGTAAAATGTTTCCATCTTTGTTTTTTTTTTATTTTGTGCATATTTTTGTTGCCTATGTTTTTAATATCTCGTCTCAAAACTTGTAAACTTTTGTTTTTATGTCTGTTTTTGCCTTATGTCTTTTCGGAGTGACCGCTGGATATCTTTATTTAATTTCTTCATTATGGTGTATTTGGAGCCCTATTTTTCCGTCAGCTGTTTTCTTTTACCTATTAGCTCTTTGGTATTTTGACTTAGTTTTTCTTAATGGGTCAGAATGGTCGGGCAGCACACCCTTTCCTTTCGCTTTTTTACATAATAAAAACTAAAATTGAGACAATTGTCGACGATGTTGACGTTGCTCTTGCTCTTCTAACGTAATTATGATAATAACACCCTTGGTGCATAAATAACTATTAAACCATTATTTTTAATTGATAATGAAGCACGTATGGCAAGGCGGGCGCTCATTTGTACAATGAAAATTTAAACCATCAAAAATTGGTGCCCTAGATCTTGTTTCTCTCTCTTATACACGCCACAGCCCGAGCACCCGTCCAGTCATAAGCACTTCATTGACGATTAAAAAGCAATGTTTTAAAATAGACACAAAATACTTATCGGTAAATGAAAGAATAAGGTTTGACTTGATAAAAACTTGAATTTTAGGTCCTTGGTGAATTCAAAACTAATATTTTTTATTGTGATCAGTTTTAAATTATTATTTATAACTCGAAAACGATCAAGTTTACAAAAAAACTACAGTTATTTTAGTTATTTTTTTCAGAATGATCAAAAAAAAATAAAAAAAAATTTGGTGCCGAAAAAATTGATTGTTATAATTTGTTTACAAAAATTTTAACAACTTTTCGCCTGGGCGACCTCTTGAACCTTATTTTGGAATATCTCATGAAAGTGGTAATGCAAAGAAATCTCGTGGGAATTTTTTTCCTAAGGAACCCGAATTTTCGCCTTGTCTAATAAGAAACTGATAGGTATATTTTTTTATAACTACAATTTTTTTACCTAGATCTACAAGGAATTGATAATAATAAAATGGTATTATAAACGTTTATTTTTTTTTATTTAATACCTTGGATAATGATACAAATCTGTATATCGGAAGCAAACTGTCCTAAGTCCAATTTATCGATTTTACAGGAGAACGAATTAACGGTTTTCGGTGAATATTTGGAATTATTAGAGATATAAATAAATAATGAATAACCAGTTTTTTCTAAGCAATTAATAGTACAGGTAGAGTATTATAATCCACCAATTTCAAATTTTTGCAATATTCTAATTTTACAAAAAAAATGGACTTAGGACAGTATGCTTCTAAGTTGTATTTTTTTTTTCCGAAAACATTTTTATAATAAGTCACCTGTCCTTATTGACAATAAGTAAAACGAATATAGATATACTAATTTCAATTTATTAAGATTAAAAAAAGTTAAAACGGAAAGTAAAATAAACATGAACTAAAAATTTTAAAGTACGTATTAGCTTAAATAAATTTTATTGATCAACATCTCCTTCTGGATAATCGTTCCGATTTAGAGCATGTGGTAAGCTTCGATAGTATTCGTGAAACTCCGATGGTACAAAAGGCAATAAATCCATGAGGTCATTATATTTTGCTGTTGAAATAGGCACTAGCCTTTGATTTATTTGGTCCAGATCCATCGGTAAGGTAAGTTCGGTTCTTGTGTTTCTTCTCAAATCTACTTCCTCGAAATTCGTTGCTTGAAATGATGTTTTGTAGTACAGTATTCCTAACTGGTCTTTTCTATACTGCAAGTGAACTACTTTAGACAATAGGAACGGCTGTTTATTACGATTAATTTTTCGAGCAACGAAAGGTGCAGCATTTGAAGAACCCCTTGCAACGGTATACATTGGATCAAAAGATTTAAAGTCGGCCAATTCTAAGTTTATTACTTTAAATTTTGAGGAACAGTGACGGATAAGTTGCTGCCAATCCCACGGAGTTACAACTGTCATTGTAGGAGTTTTTTTTCGCTGTTTTTCTATTTGTGCATGAACGGTGTCAGCTTCCATGTGACTATGTCCTTTTAAAAGAAATTTTTGATCAATGGTTTTAAGCTGTGGATATTTATTTAGAATGAAATAAAAGCCCATTACGATGCTGCTGTTCTTATTTTGGCCAAAGCAATTATCAGACCAAAGCGTTATGTGCTCTATATTAGATCCAGGTAAGTTTAGATCTGCCCATTTTACCAAAGCTGATGCCAACTCATTCCCACCTCTCTTACCTTTTGATTCGTCCCACATCATACACCAGGCTGAATTATTTGAGGAATCAAAAATTGTATAATTTAAAGTCCAAAGCTTTCTTTTATAAAAAGTAAGCGAATTGGTCAACAACGGTGTAGGTAAACATTTTTGAAGATCTGCTGTGAGTACCTTATGTTTGCAATTTTCTTTAGTTTCATTTGTGTCTGAGGATTTGAGATTATACCTACGTTCTGCATCTTTCAGATGTAAATTTCTTTCATTGTTTATACGTTCTGCATCAGTGTCGTGTACTGCTGTCTTTAACTGTGCTAAAAATAAATCACACGTATCACAAGTGTCCACTTCTGGTGGTTTAAAAGTGAGATTAAATTTTTTATTAAAAATATCCCTATACAACCATAGTTTTGCTACATCGTCTAAATGAACGTGTTGTTCAAAGCAATATTCTTTATAGAGCGTATACATTTGCTGCACTGACAACTGAGGACCTAAATATGCTGTCTTTGATCTTTCTCGATTGTAGTGGCTTTCATATTTAGGAAATGAGGAAATATGTGATACAACGGAATCGATTACATGCTGCTGAGTTGTATTACTAGGTGTATGCTTACCTCTCTTGTCAGCCATAACTATGCCTCCTTCTTGGCGCTTTGCTAAAACGGTCTTCACTACTGACTGCGATATACCCAATGTATTCACAAACATGCACTTACACACTACAATTTTTACACCATTTACTGTTAAAGTATATACCAAGGTGTTTTTTCTTGCTTTTGATTCGTCTCCTAATCGCAATCTTTGTCTAGCTGTAGGCTTTGTTTCTATACAGGATAAAATGAACTGCCTTTTTACATTATAATCTTTTTCGTCATTCCAATAATAATTAAAAATCTCATCTCTCTTTTCTTCAGTTATTTTGGAATAACATTTCATACGACACGAACAAGCAGCTTTTTTCTTTCTTTCAGGCATCTCTTTTCCGCTTTTACTGAGATAGGATCTACCGGCAGCATACTCCCGTTTTCGCTTATTTACAATCCACTCGGAAACATGCCTTAAACGTTTCTTTCCAACTTGTTTTGTAACAGATTTTCTGGAAACTTTTCTTTTATTAACTTGCTTATTTTCTACAAGAACGTCTGGTTGTTCAACGTTATCTTCTGAATCATAATCAACATCATTAATAGGATTATAATCTTTATCTGCTATAGAATCATCAGAGTCGCTCAACAAAAGGTCATTTTCTAAGAGAGAAAACTGTTTTTCATACGTCTTCATTTTGGATGACATAGTATCTACATCTTGACCGATCTCAGTTACTTGCGAGGTACTAGGTTGGTTTTCTTTTGACGTATCTGAAAAAAAAATATATTAACCATAAAAATATATTTCTAAATCAGTTTTATATGAAGAAAATTTTTTTTAATTCCTTATTTTATCCTAAGAACTATAATATTAGTAAACGAATTACTTACCATCCATTATGGAGTCAAGCGCTAAAGATAATAAACGATGTCCTCGGCCACTCATATTTACAAATTATAAAAACTATTCACGAAATTATAAAAACTATTTTCGTCAATAACTACAAATTTTCAGAGTTTTTAAGATATAACCAAAAATAATAACCACGTGTTTTTCACTCAAAGCGCAACGAAACAATGAACGGAATTTAATGTTTGATTATGAGAGCGACGTTAATGTTCGGGGCTGTTCGTTTTACACGGACTTAAACTACTACTGGCGGTTTACATAGATAGAGGAATACTGTCCTAAGTCCAACTTAGGATTATATGCCTCTAAGGAGGTACGGACTTAAGACGATGTTATTTTAACTATTTTCTTTTTATATTTAAAATGGACTTAGTATTATATACCACTAAATAGATTGTAAAAATGTAAACAAACCTACATAAATAAGTCCAATACGTAAAAATTGGACTTAGGACAGTATGCTTCCGACATACAGAAATGTGTTGTAGTGTTTTTTTCCGCTGCAACGAAAATTTTTAATTAAAAGGATATTTTTATCAATATTTTAACGTTACAGTTTAAATTCACCAATTAAAATGTATAATTTTAATATGTTTGAACTTTTACTCTTTTGATTATCCCTTTACCCATAATAAACAAAGATATCATACAGTCATGCCAAGATAGACGAAGATAACAACTGGATAAATAATAACGATGTTTTTAAACCAAGTAATGTCAATAACATTGTCAACTGTCAAATATTTCAATTTAATAAAAACGTACTTTTGCATAGCAGTTCTCGTAATTTTATAACTTTGTTTTTAAATAGAAACTGATTATTCTTGTAGTAAAAGAGTAGCTAATATTGTAATATTCTGATAAATAGTCTAATTAAAGTTGAAGAAAAATACTTGTATAATTTTACAGGTTGTCTCATGAAATACACTTTATGATATAACCAGTATAATGGCAAACTGCTTTACCTTTGCCAAGAGAAAATCTATTGTTGTAGAAGACAGTACTTGGACAAATCAAGTTGTAACACAAAGCCCGTTAAGTTTTACAAATAATGAAGGTAATATATTATTTTGTTTTTAAGTCATCACTTTTATCTTATCATCTACAGTTAATTATATATCACCAATATTAATATAAAATGTAAGAATATGCAGAAGTCAGATCTTGTATAAAATTTTAAGTGTTAGGAATTAAAAAGATTTTATTTGGATTTCTAACAAACCATTTCTTCTGGAATATGTAGTTATGAATGAATTATAATATGTAGCTTTTATGTGATAATTTGGTTTATTTATTTGCATAATTTGAATGTTTTAGACAGCCTAAATGAAACATATGCAACTGCAGTAGATGAAAATGAAACTCAATACCTATCTGTCCTAGAATCAACAACTGGTGATGACACATTAGAAGATATTCATGATATTACACTAGGCAGTCAAAAATTACTTATTCAAGATACTATGGGACTTAATGTTGAAACAATATCTCAAGATAATTTTAATGCAACTGAATCTGAAGAACAACAGGTTGTAATATTTAATGTGGAAGGATCTAATGAGCTTTATGGTATACAAGTAGCTCAAGATAATGATGGAAATGTTCATAGATACCAATTTCAATTAAGGTAAATAATAAGAGTAATATGAGGCAGTTGGTCTGATAGAAGTGGGGACTTAGTATAGATTATTTATACCTACCAACTGATTGCTAAGTGTACATTATTAATTTGGCACAACCAGTTTTGCCGTGCAACATGATGTCATTTAAGAATTCCTTTGGCCATTGGTAAATACCTGACATTAATAAATTAGATTCTCCTATAACACAAAAACAAATATACAAATCTTTATTTAGTTTGATATTTAGTCTTTTTTTGTCTAGTTGCACTGCTCAAATTGTCTTCTGGGATTATTTTAAATCAGTATGCTCAAATTTTTCATAATGGTACATCATTATTAATTCTAACTAAAGCTTCTCAACCATGGACATATAAACATAGATGGACACAGCAATAAAATACCTCTAACACACAATGTTTTGAAGCTTCAATAGAATGTGATGCTTCCACAATGAGCATAAGCGTGCTTGAATTTTTACTCGTGGGTAATTATTCAGATTTTAAAAATTGGAAGTAGTAATAATGTATAAAAACACGTTCAAAGAATTAAAAAAAAACAAGAGTTTAACTATTAACAAATCACGTCTTTATAGAAAAATTAAAATACAATTTTATTTGCTTTAATATTAATACAATTAAATATAGTTGAATTCAAGTTAATTTTTTAGTAGTATCAAAATAATGCTACAATAAAAAATCTTTATGTTTTCTCCTTAATTTGCTACCCAAATAGTTCGATTGTCAATATTATTTGGAAACCTATGTACATAGAAAAATAAATGAGTTTTATTCATTTCACTAATTTATTTGTATCCATGAGAAATATTAAATTAAAAAGGTACTAAACAGATCTTTTTTAATCAGATGATTTCTACTTACAATTTATAAATGTCTACTAATTTCATGAACTCATATCTTATTCAATACATTAATGAACATGAATAAACCCAATGGTACACCTATTAAAATGTAAACAAACACGCTTCCTCATTTCCTCATCTTAAATAATGTAAATTGTATGTACTTACAAATGAAATGAGAGATCGGGATGTAAATATTTCGTTTATTTTATTTCACTTTTCACAAATATCACTCAAAATACAGCCAAAATATTGAAAAATAACTTTTTCCTCATTTACTGTAAAAAGTAAACAAACATGGACCAGCATTTGAAGTTTGACATAGATCCATAAGACAGAGAAATGTAAACAACCGTTGCCATTTATAAATAGTTTTCAGTGCTTCTACATATAAAATAATTGATTGATATCTATTATACGCTATTATTAAATGATAATGCACACTATGTGCACACTTGATATTTTGATTACAATTAAATATATTAATATAACCAATAAATTATTATTTTGGTTTGATAGCACCTGTAGAGTATAAAATACGGAGTAATATTTTCAGCGACTGGTGAATAAGAAATTTTAAAACAAAATGTGACAACAGTTGAAGGTGCTCAGAATGTGACCTATTCAAATAATGTTGAATTCACAATTTTATGTAAATAACTGAGTCCATCTGTGTTTATACGTCCATGTTCTCAACCATTCACACAGATCCTTTTTTATTCAATTGTCAAAACTTTTTGTTTTTGTTTAGATGTTGTTAATTTAGTTCATGTTTGATGTTTTTATAATGTAAATTGTAAATTATGTCATTGATGTGTTCTGGCAAATTAGTGTACATATGTCTATTAAAACTTCAGATTTACTGACTTGTCTACTGAATCACAGTGATCCATTTGTTTTTCTTTTCACATAATATAAGACTATTTGATGGTACTTTAATAGTATAAATATGGTATATTGTAAATGAATCATTACAAGCAAGTAAACATTTACTGATCCAAGTGTATTTACTGTAAGATCATTTTTATTACCTCTTGAGGTATTGAAGTCTAAAGTATTTCACTTTTTTATTTATATGTAGTATTTTTTCTCTCTAGTTTATATTTTGCTTCTTCTTCTTTAAGTGCCGTCTCCCAATGGGAGGTTGGATATCATCATCACTACTTTACTTTATCTACTGCTGCTCTGAAGAGTTCTATAGAACTGCATTTAAACCAGTCCCTTAAATTCTTCAACCATGACACTCTCCTTCTTCCTATACTCCTTCCTCCTCTTATCTGTCCCTGTATTATCAGCCTTAGCAGTTCATATCGCTGTCCCCTCATTATGTGTCCCAGATATTGTAACTTTCTTATTTTTATTTTGTTTATTATTTCAAATTTGTTGCCCATTTCTCCTAATACTTCTGCGTTAGTTTTCTTCTGTGTCCATGCTATTCTAAGTATCCTCCTGTAACACCAAATTTCAAAGGACTGTAACTTATTTATGTGTTCTTGCTTCAATGTCCAGCTTTCAAGTCCATATTGCAGTATTGAAAACAGCATCTTACTCTCAGCGATCTTACTCTCAGTTCTAATCTATGATCTTTATTGTAGAGAATTGTTTTCATTTTTACAAACACATTTCTTGCTATTTCTATCCTAGCTCTTATTTTGGTTGTTTGATCATTATTGTCTGATTATATTTTGCTATAAATTTATAAAATTTACAAACTTATACTAAAATAATATATATATATATATATATATATATATATATATATATATATATATATATATACTAAGGTATATTGTACAAAAATATAATGGGTTAAATCAACTCTACTGTCTGTTTTCTAATTATCTTAAAGTAATAAGTGATGGTCAAAGAATTTGACTCCTTATTCATTCCTTATACCCTATGAGGGTGTCAGATGGTGTTACAGTATAACTATATTTTTAATTACGGTTTTTAAACAGGAAAACTGGAGATGGACAGCTAGAACCTATGCCAGAAACTGTTCAATTATTAGCTAATGAAGAAGATCAACAAGTGACAGAAGAACAGCAGGATGCTTCTGAACTAACTGCTGATCAGATAAATAAAGAACAGTTTGAACATCCTGTTTATTTACAGGCAAAATTAGATGAAACAGATGAAAGTTCGCAATCTCATTTGTTTATTTCTGAAAAATCAAATGTGAAGAAAGAAGGCACAAGTTTTTTCAGGGAAGACTTGGAAGTAAACTATGAAGAAGCTAGTATAAATCTCAAATCAGGTAAAGTTAAAAAAATAATATGGTTTTTATTATTCTTATTACTTATATTACCTATATACAGTGCGTTAAGTTTTGGATTAGGTATACACTCTATAAATGGCAACACTGCGCGTCTTCGACTTGCACTACATATCTGCTTCGTTGACTCGTCATTGCACGTCGCCGGTCGGCAAATTTGTCATATTGTCATTATACCGTGGTTGTTTAAAGGTATAACAGCGTAGAGTTTTAATTTATTTTTGTAAACATGTCTGTTTATATGGCCGCGGAAAAAGCTCAAATAATAAAATGGTTTTATAGTGGCAATTCTGCGCAACAGTGTGTAGATTTATTTTCTGTGTTTTTTGGGGGAAGACCAATTCCTTGTGTACAGTCAATTTATAATATTGTTAAAAATTTTGAGAGTTGTTATTGCCTCAAAAATTGCAGAAAATGTCACGCTCGAGAAGTGTTACCAGAAAAAGTTGAGGAAAGAGAATACCGGGATACACAAATTTGTGCAACAATCGAGGTAGATTCAACACTTTCAAGTAGAAGCGTTGCTAGAGAGTTAGATGTTAGCAATGTTACTGTAACGAAAGTATGGAAAAAGCACAGTTAATTTTAAATATTCAAAAACGCAGCAGCTTTATCCAGACGATTACTTTCGAAGAATGGAGTTTTGTAAAACTCTAATAACGAAGGCTAATAGGGAACCAAATTTTATTAAAAACATTTTATTCACTGATGAATCTTCTGTTTCGTTAGTAGGGAGACACAATCCTTCCATTACGAGGTATTGGGCGCGGGAAAACCAGCACAGAAGTGTTGTTTACCGAACTCAACGTCCTCAAAAAGTTAACGTCTGGACTGGCATTTTAGGAGACCACATAATAGGTCCATTTTTTATTGAGGGCAACTTGAATAGTAGAGTATACCTCGATTTGTTACAGAATCATGTTCTTCCCGCTATTCTCAATCTTCCTGATGTAAATCTGGAGAATGTTTGGTTTCATCAAGACGGCTGTTCAGTTCACAACACTCGAATTATTAGGGAGTATTTAAACAATACTTTCCCGAATCGAGTTATCAGTGGAACAGGCGATATTAAGTGGCCTGCGCGATCTCCAGATCTTACACCCATGGACTTCTTTTTTTGGGGACATTTAAAAAGCATTATCTACGCTCATCCTGAGGCTAGAGCCCAAAATTTGGATGAATTAAAAAATCGAATAAGAGAAGTCTCCAATTCTGTTACAGCAGAAACTCTTTCATCTGTTCGCAGAAGTTTTTATGACAGATTGGGGTACTGTTCAGCCGTGGAAGGTCAACTATTTGAACCATTTCTGTAGGTCATAAAGAATTATTTTTTATTTTATTAGGAATAATATTTTAATTTTCAATAAGAGTATATTTTTTATTTTATCTTTTTAAAGAAATACGCTTTTATTTTTAATTCAACCACAAAAAAATTTTCACATTATATAGAGAAGTATATCCCTAACGTTGTTGTGAGTTACTAAACTAAAATAAATGATTTTCCGTCGGTGTAGATTTTCGGGTCGGAGAACGAACATTTGCAACGTTGCCGATTTACCTAATCAAAAACTTAACGCACTATATATATATATATATATATATATATATATATATATATATATATATATATATATATTCCATATTGCCAATTAGAAATTGGCAATGGGAAAATTCCTCTTTATTCTTCTTATTCATGGTCTTATTTTGTTTCCCTCAAATTTCTACCAATTCACAAAGTCAAAAGAATTAATTTCGATAGTGTTTCCACCTTATAAAAAATATATTAAAAATACTTAATAAATATTTTTAATAAAATTAAAAAAAAATGTTTAATTTATTACTGTTTGTATTTTGAGAACGATTTCCGAAGTGGAAATTGAATCGCCAATAAACATATTTTAACCTTTAATTGTGGCTTATTCCCAGTTAAATAGTAATTAATTTAAAATGCCACAAGAAATGATGATGATTTAAGGGAGGTTGAAGTAAGGGGATGGAGAAGACAGACACTTGACAGAGAAAGATGGAATAATATTTTGAGGTAGGAAAGGCTTCACGAATGCCTGAAGGGTCAACTGATGTTGAAGACATTATAATAGAGTATCTACATCTACATCTATTGTCATGTATAGCTCTGTTAGACAGCAGACCCAGTAAAGCACATATTTAATTAAATAAAAATATATATTCAAAATAAATAAATAATAAAATAATTAGATTTTAGTTAATATCTGGGTTCGAGGTGGATGGATCGGTAACACTCGATAAGTCAAGGAGTGGGAAGTGACTAATCAACACTTAGTCATGGATTAATATATAAAACTGTTTTGGATGGGTTGGAGTCAATTGTGATGAACACATAAGATTTAATTTAAAAACTTAATTTTTAGAAATCCGTGTGGAGTTGTCTGTCTCCCATCGGACGCGTCCCCAGGTGGTGGATAGGGGAACGCCCTAACCGGTCCTAGGACCGGCGAGTAGGTGGGAAATAAAATACCACCCGTGAACCAAAACGGACTAAGGTATGGTAACCCTAACAGAAGAGTCCCTGGCCCTCCAGGTTGGAGGTTGGGCTTAGGGCTAACAACTCTACCCCGTAAAAAAATATCGTTACGAAATCTACAGCTAAAGAAACCGGACGGAACTTACGACGACGACCAATGCAACGAAATAAGGACAAAGATTTAAAAATTTACACGTGGAATGTGCGGACACTTTATGAACCTGGAAATCTTAAAAAATTAATAGACATACTAACTCAATATAAAGCACACATTATTGCTGTGCAAGAAGTAAGATGGACTGGCCAAGGAATTATCCAAAAGAGACAATGCGATATATATTACAGCTGTCACAAGAATAATCACGAATTCGGGACCGCATTCATTGTTTCATTGTTAACAAAAAAGTAAAACATCTTATTATGGACTTCAAACCAATAAGTCCAAGAATATGTTACCTAAGAATAAGAGGTAAGTTTTTTAACATCAGTCTCATAAATGTACATGCCCCAACCGAAGACAAAGAAGAGGATGTCAAAGATCTATGAGGATTTCTATGATGAGAGAAATTCTATGAGGAAGTAGAGACCATCTACGATAGATGTCCCAGAAACGACATCAAGATCATAATTGGAGATCTTAATGCAAAAATAGGGAAAGAAAATATATATAGTCCATACATCGGAAAATGCAGCGCTCATGACGTCACCAACGACAATGGAAATAGAATAATAGGATTTGCAGCATCCAAGGGCATCGTCGTTGGAAGTACCTACTTCCCCCATAAGAATATTCATAAAGTAACATGGACGTCGCCTGATGGTACAACCAAAAATCAAATAGATCACATCCTAATAGAAACCAGGCACTTCTCTAATCTAATGGATGTACGTACTTATCGTGGAGCTAATATAGATTCAGACCACTTCTTAGTAGGCGCAAAAATAAGAGCAAGAATCTCAAATGCAAAAAAAGAAAAGGGTAAGAAAAGTACTCGATACAATTTAAAACTCTTGAAAGAGCCCCGTGTACTAGAAAGGTATCAAAATTACCTTGAACATGAAAGCACAACAGATGAGAATTTAACAGCTAGCGAGCAATGGGATATATGTAAAAGAACAATTAAGGAAGCGGCAAACAACGTCCTAGGACCAGAAGAATCCACTCCACGCAACAGTTGGTTCGACGATGAATGTGAAGATATCACTAAAAGAAAAAATTATGCATATAAACTTATGCAACAAAGAAGAACACGGGATAAGGAGCAAATGTACAAAGATCTTAGGAAGGAGGAAAAACGCATACATCGAAGGAAAAAGCGGACCTTCGAAAACCAGATTATGCAAGAGCTTCAATCATTAAAGGGGCAAAATGAAACTAGAAAGTTCTATAATATCCTAAATAAGACAAGAAAAGAATTTAAACCACGGCTGACGATGTGTAGAGACAAAAATGGACATATAGTCAGTACCGCTGACGCAGTACAAAGCAGATGGGTTGAGCACTTCAAAGAACTACTTGGTACCGAAGTGGAAAATGATGCGTCACCCCAAAGACCAAGAAATAACACTCACGTAGAACCTCCTTCAATATTTGAAGTGAAAGACGCAATCACACGACTCAAAAATAGCAAGTCCCCAGGAGTGGATTGTATCCCCGCAGAGCTCATCAAACATGGAGGTAACAGCATTATGCACCAAATTCACAACATAATAGTCAAAGTCTGGGAAGAAGAACAAATGCCAGAGGAATGGTGCACTGGAATCATATGTCCACTACACAAAAAGGGAGATTTGTTGGAATGTAAAAATTATAGGGGTATAACTCTTCTGAATACAATATACAAAATATTCTCCAACACCCTGTACAGCCGTTTAAGTACGTACGTGGAAGAAATCCTTGGTGAGTATCAAAGCGGTTTTAGGCCAGGTAGGTCAACAATTGACCAGATTTTTGTGCTACGTCAAATCTTAGAAAAAACCAATGAATTTAATATTGACACGTTCCATCTCTTTGTGGACTTTAAGTCAGCGTATGATAGCGTCCTAAGAGGTAAATTATACGAAGCCATGAATGAACTTAACATTCCCCATAAATTAATAAGGCTCGTAAAAACAACTATGAGTAAAGTGATCTGCAGAGTGCAAATACAAGGCGATATGTCACAAGCGTTTGAAACATATGCAGGGTTACGGCAGGGAGACGCGCTGGCGTGCCTTCTCTTTAATATAGCGTTAGAAAAGACTATAAGAGATGCCGAGTTACACAATAGGGGAACAATCTTTAATAAATCAACGCAGATTATGGCGTACGCTGACGATTTGGATTTGATTGCACGTACTACACGAGGACTTAAAGAGATGACTTCCACCTTCTTGACAGCCGCACAAAATATGGACCTTAAAATAAACGAGGAAAAAACCAAAATGCTAGCATCTATTCCAAATAACAGAGATAGAGCTAGAAACGCCGAACAAAACTTCAGTATAGACCAATATAATTTTGAGATAGTAAATAAGTTTACATATTTGGGTTCTCTCATAACAAACGATAATGACACATCTGAAGAAGTTAAACGGAGGGTACTGCTAGCAAACAAATGTTATTTTGGACTAAGCAAGCAGCTAAAAAACAGAAATTTAAGCCAGAAAACCAAACTAATAATATATCGAACACTCATCCTACCAGTGCTGACATATGGGTCAGAAACATGGACCATCTCCAAAACAGACGCAAATCTTCTGCTCGTCTTCGAAAGGAAGATACTAAGAAGAATAATGGGCGCATTCTGTGAGAATGGTATTTGGAGAAGGCGATATAATTTCAAATTGTACGAGAAGTATAAAAAAATAGTAAATGGTAGAGATGTAATATCCTTCATAAAAATAGGTAGGCTTAGATGGGCTGGACATGTGTCAAGAGCAAATGAAAATTACCCACCCAGACGAGGCAACGGTTGGCGATGAACAGAAACGACTGGCGAAATAGACTGGGGAAGGTCAAGGCTCAACTAGAGCTGTAGCACCACTGATGATGATGAATTTTTAGAAAGTCTTTGATGACTAATAGTAATTTCAAACTGTTAAATAATTTTGTAAGAATTTAAAATTAAGAATTTAAACACAATCTCTATTTCCTATATATGACATTTGTCAACTGTCACTTTTGAAAAATCATTTAAAAGGACCGACATTTGATTTCATTAGTTCTATTCTGTCTACCTCCTCACAGCTATCAATGGTCAGGTTCTTACACCCTACCATGACAAAAAATTTTTTAATGTGTCTGTGAAGTCGTGTCGGTTTTTTATATGTTTTTTAAGAATTTTAACAACTAAAAAATCAATATTTCGACATACAAGGAAATGAGATCTCTCCATTGTAGTGGTATTTATAAATTGACGTAAGTTAAAAAATTAAAATCTTCACCAATTAGTACTTATAAGAACATTTTATTGTAGCATAGCTCCGATGATGGCTTTGTAAAGCCGAAAGCGCTCAGCTAGGAATTATTTAAAATATAAACACTTCAAAAATACTTTTTTACCTTTTCTTTTGTCTTACTCTACCGCTAAACAGGTGCCACCTCCAATGAACGAATCTCTATGAACGGGTTCTGCATTATTATTCATTCACATATTTTCAGAAAGATTCATAAACATAACGATATTAAACTCTATAAACTTGACCTTTACACATTAGTCATTCATATTGACCTGGAAGATCCAGGTCAACGAAATGAACCAGGTCTTCTCATCACTAGTGTAGCTTCATCCTACTTCTTCAGATGTATCATTATTGCTTGTTATGAGGGAACCATGATAGGTACTTATTTACTACTTATGCTGGATAATATTTTGTATATTGTGTTCAGAAGAGTTATATCCCTATATTTTTTACATTCCAACAAATCTCCCTTTTTGTGCAGTAGACATATGATTTCAGTGTATCATTCCTCTGGCATTTGTTCTTCTTTCCTCACAGCATAATAGTCACACTTTGAGTATAACTATTATACTGTAAATTTGGTGTAAAATTCTGTTACCTCCATGTTTGATGAGCTCTGCAGGATGCAGTTGACTCCTGGGAACTTGATATTTTTGTGGCATGTGATGGCGTCTCTCACTTCTAACATTAAAGAAGGTTCTATGTGGGCATTTTTTTTTTGGTTTTTGGTTTAGATTTTTTTCTTGTAATATTTTGGATCTCATAGAACTTTTTAGTTTCATTTTGACCCTTTAGTAATTGAAGCTCTTGCATAATCCGGTTATCCAGCTTTTTTTCTTTAATGCACATGATCGATGCAAATTATATAGTGACAGTATCCCTTAGTTTTATTATTATTTAGGGTTAGTCATGAAATAATGGTTGGTCTAACAATAAATAATAATGTTGCAATAAAAGAAAAAAATTGGTGTTATGAACTAACTCGATAGTAGTTTTTTGCTCCTTAATCTCAGATTATTAATTATATTTGCAAATGTTAACGCCATCTTCAACTATTTATTATACCTCACAGTAATAAGAATTACGGACTATATATTTGTAGAGATAAATTTGGCAACATTAAAGGAAGAGTTTATCAAGCAACAAAATGAGGAATGCCAGGATACAGAGGAGCCACTCTCTGCCAGTTTTGATGAAGATTTTACATCCGAAGGTGAGTTTTATACTTGATTACCCTACATACATAGTAGTTGATTTTCTTCCTGAATTTTGTTAGTTAGATTGCCCGTTTTTTTAACTTTATTTTTTCTGCTGTTGAAATATTATTCCACTTTCTTCTTTTGATTGGTGATTGTCTTGTTCCTGTTTATTCGTAATATTGAACCTAACAGTAAAGGAAAAACAATTATGCTCTTCTCATCCAGGGACCCATCAGGATAAGGAATATGTACATGTTTATTTTTGTTTCTATTCTTGGGTTTTATGTATATATAAACTTAACCACAAAAGTTTTGCACCACCAAAAATTATGCTTATTTTGATAGTTGATTTTCTCGTGAACGGATTTACTATGGATTCCGCTATTTTTTTTTACTATTTTAGAATTTTTCTTTGTTATTTACACTGTTGGGCAAAGGTTTACCCAAACTTATCTTTTGGGCTTATACCTGATAAAGAAAAATATGTTTTTCTTATGTTAAGTTTGAGATACCCTGTAGGGAAGAAAAGGTACAAGAGTGGGTGTACATTGAAACCATGTTGTTTTCTCTGCTCCTTTATTAGATACGAACTTGAAAGATTAGAATAGAAGATGATTTTTAAATATTATTTTTTTGAATTAAACAAAAAAAAAATTAGTTTCCATGTACTAAACAGAAGGCGCTAGATGGTTTTCTAAAGGGCGTTTCAGTTAAAATCTTAAGAAAAGGAGTCTGGTGGCGGACAATAATTCGTAGGATTGGCACATCTGAAACAAAAAGATCCAACGGGATTACCCAAAGAAAGGGCCCTTACAAGACAATTAACCACAAAAAATTTTGATACGCAAAAATTGGTAAAAAATCGATTTTTTTTTAACGTTTTCTTCAAATTCTTGCAATTAATTACTATTTATAACTGGGAATAAGCCACAATTAAAGATAAAAATACGTTTATTGACGTTTCAATTTCCAATTCGGAAATCGTTCTCAAAATACAAATAGTAAATTAAACAAATTTTGTTTTTTGTTACATAGTGAAAAAATTCTTCTAATAATTTAATTTTATCTGACTCATTTATATTGACAATTCAGACATACATTATGCATTTTAAAGTAGACGACTTTAAAATGATATTGCCAATATTGTTGAGTTGCGCTCCTGGGGCGACTTTACTTATAAGATAGTTCATTCGATTACATGAAATCAACTTTAACTTGAGAATATCCGTCAGAAAAAATCATAGCATGTAATTCGTCTTTAAAAAGACAAACACATGACAGGATGACAGTAAAATTCTCCTGTTAGTGATTCCATAGTAAATTATGAGGGAAAAACCAGGAAAAAAACCTCATAATACTATCCCGACATTGTAAGTATTTGTTCGTGAATTTAGTTTACCTTCAACAAACATCAAAATTCTGATTTTATATGTTACGTTATTTAAAAAACATAAATGATGTATCCTCTATATGTTACTGACTTACTAATACTGGTATTTTCTTATTAATAACTTCCTCTTTCAATATTGGTAACCAGATCCTACTACATTCTGCCGAGGAATTTGCGACACAATTGGCCTCATTTAGCATAATTAGAGCCGCTTCTTTGATTTTTCTTTTTTTACCATCCGTTTCTTTTAATTAGTTATTAATAAGAAAATACCAGTATTAGTAAGTCAGTAACATATAGAGGATACATCATTTATGTTTTTTAAATAACGTAACATATAAAATCAGAATTTTGATGTTTGTTGAAGGTAAACTAAATTCACGAACAAATACTTACAATGTCGGGATAGTATTATGAGGTTTTTTTCCTGTTTTTTCCCTCATAATTTACTATGGAATCACTAACAGGAGAATTTTACTGTCATCATGTCATGTGTTTGTCTTTTTAAAGACGAATTACATGCTATGATTTTTTCTGACGGATATTCTCAAGTTAAAGTTGATTTCATGTAATCGAATGAACTATCTTATAAGTAAAGTCGCCCCAGGAGCGCAACTCAACAATATTGGCAATATCATTTTAAAGTCGTCTACTTTAAAATGCATAATGTATGTCTGAATTGTCAATATAAATGAGTCAGATAAAATTAAATTATTAGAAGAATTTTTTCACTATGTAACAAAAAACAAAATTTGTTTAATTTACTATTTGTATTTTGAGAACGATTTCCGAATTGGAAATTGAAACGTCAAGAAACGTATTTTTATCTTTAATTGTGACTTATTCCCAGTTATAAATAGTAATTAATTAATTTACAATGCCACAAGAAAATAGCTACAGAACAATTCTTGCAATATTTTTTTTTTGTTTAATTTTCGATTAAAAGTAGTTGATTGTCTCTCAAGGGCGCTTTCTTTATTAAGTAATCCCGTTGGAATTTTTTGTTTAAGATGTACCAGTACTGAGAATTAGTGTCCGCCATCGGATACCTTTTTTTGAGATATTAACTTAGGTGCACTCTAGAAAACGAGCTATTCATGGGAACTAAAAACAAAACATTTTTTTGTTTAACTCAAAGATAAAATAATATTGCAAAAAAATTCAAGCTTGTATGTAAAGGAGCTGAGAAATTTTTTGGTGCATTTTTATGAGCGTTTTTTTATCCTGCTAATCTGTATTAGTACCTTGACATGTGTTTTAAATTAAACAATACTTAGCTATCACTAAAAAATAAAATTTGGTAAAACTTTAAAAACAGAAAGAAATAACGTAAACTAACATTTTGTTATTCCTTTCTAATATTAATGAAAGTTCTGATCGACACTTAAGAGTTATTTATCAAACAGTTGAACGGTATGCACAAGCAACATAAAAGAGACTAGATTGTTTAATGGAGGCTCTTTGATGTTTTAGGGTGTAATTTCCTTGATAGCAAGAACGGGTCTGGTGTCTTTACAGGCATGCTCTTTAATGACCGAAAGGCATATTACAGTAATTTTTTTGTTTCTTTGAACACATTTTTTCTTTCGCACCTTATATAGGAAATAATTTTATCTTAACGCCCCACGTACTGCGTCGTTACTGAATATTTAAGTGAGGTAAATATTCAGACATTGAGTTGACTCCCTCACAGTCCATACATGAATCCTATTGAATGCTTATGAAATATTGGAATGCAATTAAAACTTCGTCAGTCGTAAATACCAAAGAATAAGTCTAAAGGATATGGATAGGCAGAACCGCCCCCTTTATTTCAAATCGGTTCCTGAGCAGTATCTCAGATACTACTTTCGACTATTTCTCATACTACTATTCGTCCACTTTTAAGTGTTGTTGGCTAAAACTTTAACCTTATGCATGATAATCCTTGTTAACTAACATGTCGCATGTATTATGCTCACGTTCAAACTGGTTGAACAACAAATCACATATCCCTGATTGTGGCCTTGTGCGTTAGAGAAGTCCAGAAACATCTCTTTGTTACCGAACTCCGATAAAAAGGCGACCTTAGTGAATTCTGAACTTTCCGATGGTTTTTATCACTCCGCCAGCTGTTTCGAGAGAATCCGTTCTCATATAAGCCAGCAGGACAGGCACTGAAATTAGTATTGATATTGGCGGTTCTACATATCAGTGCAAAGGCTATAGCGGGATAAGATGGTCAAAATTGCACCATGCTCGATTTAGTTTTGGGCCTGGCCATTTGAAAGGACATAATTTAAAACTCACTCAGTTAAATAATCAAGTCCTTAGATGCCTCTGGGGGTTCGCTATGGGAAAAAACGTATTTAAAGAAAGAAATTTTTTTTTAGACGCTGTATTGCTGCAAAAAAAATCTGAAAAAATACATGAAAGCGTAGTTTAATAATACAATACTACCTGATTTTTTTCAGATTTTTAGCTTGAAAATTGAGCCAAGGAAAAATATTTGAAATTTTCAGTAATATTTTAGGTTATGTCGGAAATTTTTGGCCAACTTTAAAACAATGTTTTTTTTATGGGTTTTTTCCCGTTATTTCGAATGGCATAGGTATTATTATCATTTTCAACGTGGAAAATGCCTAAAAATCGAAAAAAACTGCTTTTTTTGGCATTTTTCTGAAGCACCCCCACCCCTTAACAATAAATTGTATGGGCCTAGGAACAAAACAAAAAAAAAGTATTACATAGAAAACAAAAAATTTATTTATACTGCCATAAGATACAATAATATCAGTTTTTTTTAAATAAAAAAAATATTAATAAAATAAACATAAATTAGGTTTTTTAGTGAGATGGATGACTCATAACCTTAACAACACACATCTAAATGGATATTCATATGATATATGAATGGTATGAATGGAATGATAATTCATATTTTTATATGTATTCTTACCTTTACAATCGAAACAAGCTATTAAAACTATTATTTTTTTCCTACAGCATGCTAAAAAAAACGAAAAACTTCGTTTTTTCGGCGTTGTTTTTAAGCTTTCGCTATATAACCTCTAAAGTCAGTGTCTAAATGAATGGTAATTTACATTTTCACATGTATCTTCCCCTATACAATCAAAATCAGTTATTCAAAGCATTAGTTTTATCTCGCAACTTTCTGAAAAACCGAAAAACCCCGTTTTCTCCATGTTTTTACTACATAACCTCAAAAGACTCTGAAAAATGAATCGTGAATTAGAACGTACTTGTACACTCAAGTTGTGGAATTAAAAGCTAGCGAATATATCTACATATATACGTGATATTATATCACAATGTACATGCATTTATACACAAACGCATATCTATATAGTTCCATGACTTTTGAGATCCTTGTTATATAAATTCATAAGCTCGTACCATGCTCGTCCATGTCTTACTCTTCCGCTTAGATACAAGAGCCTTATACCCATGCTTATATTATTATTATTTTATTTTATATTTTATATATACTTAACTGTTTTGGCCTTATGTCTTAGCCCGACGTTTTTTCCCATAGCGAACCCCCAGAGGCCCCTAAGGACTTGAAAATTTAACCGAGTGAGTTTTTAATTATGTCCTTTCGAATGGCCAGGCCCAAAACTAAATCGAGCATGGTGCAATTTTGACCATCTTATCCCGCTATAGCCTTTAATTAGTAATTTTGATATTGTAATTAAGTGAGTTTTTGAGTTAAATAAAGTTGGTTAAATCACCTTGTGCTTTACTTAACCCACAGAACAACGTAACAGTAGTGCCTAACAACATACGGGCAACATTTACAACATATTTCGCTTCCGGCAGTTTCTTACAACAAAGTGGGCAACTTTACCTCAAGTGGACATTAACGATGTCATTTTAAGCATGAAAGATTTATGCAGAGCTGTAATAAATCAACGTGGGGAGAATACTTCATATTTTAGTTAATTTTTTTCACTGCCAAAAACTTTTAAAAATCACAAATTTGTTTATTTTTTACATATAGATACGTTAGTATTTTAAATATACCTACTTATAAATACTTCAATTGGAACAAATTTGATTATATATTAAATATGTTGAAAAATTACATGTTCCAAAAAAAAATAAATCCATATTATATTTATCATCAAATAGACACACCATTAGACAATCACCTTCGTTTATCCTAAATTATTTAGCAATCGTACAGGACTGCTGATATATTACCTGCATTGGTGACATTTTGCAAAACCGCTCATAAATGTATTTCTTCTTCTTTTTTCTTTTCATATCCATGTTGTCCTTGCACCCATATCCTATCAAATCTCGTACGATAGGCAGAGAGTACTAAAAAAAAGGATATCTACGTCTCCGGAAAAGGCACCTTATTTATGATTTATTTTCTAGCTACTTCGTATGATACAGCAGAAATCCACAATGACCAAGAGGCAGTTATAGAGTTCGACAATCAAACTACACAAGATTATGAAGATAGTGCAGAACCTAAAAATGATCCACTCCATTTTGAACAAATGTTCATTCATGATCATCAGACAGATGAGATACATCATTATCATGAAGATTTTCAACCTGAAAATGAAGATAATTCTAATATACTTATAATCGAGAAAGATGCAGAAAACAATGAATCTGAACATGAAGATTATGAATTTGTCAGTCAACTTCCAGTTACAGGTAAATATTTTATTAGTTATAGTTTCAATCTAAATGAATCATTGTAATTGAACGTTTTTTAGTAACAATCTCAAATGATTCTCAATGCTGACACTTAATAGTTTTAAGGTATCTGAATATCATTCAGTGTTAATATTAAAACTAAGTTCTGTAAAATCAAAGATCAGTACACCTACCCAAGTAAAACCTTGTGCCACATCGACAAAGTTACTGGTACACTAGTCAAATGTGTTTCCATCGAACAATTTAACTGTACATATTGTGTGGCTTTCTAATAATATAGTATGGTGTGGCTCTTTAATAATATACTTTAATAATATTATACTACTCAGTAGGGAGAATCCTTCATCAAGAGACAGCTTTTAAACTGGGATTTTTACAAACAAACCATCACCATATTATCAATACGTTCCTGAGAGTATGCTTGAGAATGACAACTACAAGCTATATTGGAATCGCACTGTGCTCACATACCAAATTGTAGCACATAATAGACCAGATCTCGTGCTAGTTAATAAACTAACGAGACAAACAACACTAATAGATATGGCGATACCTAAAAACAATAATCTGTGTGTTAAGTGTTAGTTAAGTTTACAACGAAAAGATCGCCAAGTACAGAGATCTGGAAATAAAAATAAGGAGACAATGGAGAATGGAAAGTATTCAGACGATACCTATTATTCTTTCTACCACCACTGGAGTTATTGCGAAGAACCTAATAGAAAACAAAAAAGCTGGGTCTAAATTAACACATATAAGATCATGCAGAAAGCTGATTCGACATCCAGATGCGTGCGAAAATTTCTGGGAGATACACTGACGTACCAAGTCACCTAGAACTCGATATCATGGAAAGAGTCCCACCAGAGCTAAATCCTTTTGATGCCGTAGGTATTTGGAATACCCTTGTTACCCTTAGAGGAAGTGTGCTAAATCTGGATCATACTGTAGTATAATCTAGCCTATCTAATATAACTAGCCTCTCGACGGCCTGACAACTGATTAAAATTCGATCAGTTCTGCCTGACGGGCTAGTAGACTTAAGATGTGTGTGTTTGTGAGTGTCGCGGCTTCATAAGGTGTACCTGAACACGTCTCAGTTTTTAACAACCCTTTCATGTGGACAGTTTACATTTTTTGGGTTAAAGTTTTGTAGTTTTGATTTATTTTAGTGTTGTGCTCCTTTAATTGTTACTTTAACCAAATAAAATATTCAGTTTAGGTACATATTAAACATAATCAAATACATCTACTAAAATGCCACAGCTAGCTTAAGATTATCTGAACAAGAAACAAATTCTGTATACAGCGAGGAATACGGCAAGGATATTATCGTCTCTCCAACGCTATTCACGACGCTTTTAGAATATACTTGTAAGAAGGCACATCTGAATGAGCATGGTATCAACATAAATGGAGAGAAGCTCAGTAATTTGATATTTGCAGCTGACATCGTCCTTATAGCCGATCGTATGGATGATGCAATAATGTTTGAAAAAATATATCACACTTCCTTGGACGTTGGACTAAAGATTAATATTAACAAGACGCAAATAATGACTAATCTGGTGCTAAATCGAAATATTGCTGGTGATGGAAGGGATATTGTGCAGACTACATCGTATAATTACCTAGGACATGAAATTCGGTTGGGCAAAGATAACCAGACATGTGAGCTCCTACGTCGCATAGGATTAGCCTGGTCAGCGTTTGGTAAATTAAATTATGTATTTATATCGGATCTACCCATATACCTCAAAAGGAAAATCTTTGACTAATATGCCTGTACTCACTTATGGAGCGGAAACATTAACACTCACAAAAAAGGTATTTAATAAGATTCGCGTGACTCAGATGGCTATGGAGCGCCAGATGTTAGGTGCCTCTCTGAGAGACCAAATCCCAAACGAAGAAATACGTCGTAGAACAAAAACAACAGACGCTATCGAAAAAATCGTGTCTTTAAAATGGAATTGGGCAGGACACGTCGCCAGATTATCAGACAACCAAATTGTTTTTGCCAAGATGTATGCCTGTATACCAAATTTTATTAAAATAACATAATTTATAATGAGTTTTGGGATTTCTATGCCATTTTTTATTTTTTCCTTTTATATTTAGTTTAACGTGAATAGTAAAGAATAAAGTTTAGGTGTGTCATCTTACAGCTTGATTTCAAACTACTTCTTACATATACTTTTGTACCACATTGCTTTATTATACCACTTTGTTTTTTGTTTTTTTTTAACTTATTTATTTATTTATTTAACTTTATTTATTTTTCAGCTGAAGATATTAACGAAGAAGAAACTGTTGACGAGGAAGCAGGTGTATGGTACTCTGAGCCTAACATTCCTGTAGAATCTGTGAAGCTCACTGAAAATTCATTGCTAAAGACAACAAATATTCTTAAACAGCCCACAAATACCGTCAAACCAGTTGATCCCAAGAAAAAGGCAATTTTGTACTATATGGTTCCTAGGACTGATCAAAAAGAAAACGTCAACTCACTTCCTTACACAAACAGTAATCCTCGCAGTCTCTTGAAAAATAACTTGGATCTTACTAAAATCAATGAGGAAAATATAAAAAAACTACAGAGAGAAAAACTAATGGAAAGGAGATATGCCAGGAGCAAAGAGGCCATTCAAGCAAAGATGTTTAATAATTTCATAAATAAAACGACCATTCCTCACGCTCCTGTCAGGCAAGGTAGATTACCTAGGAAGCAGCAGATTAAGCCGGTAGATAATAGAAGAAACGAAGAAATCATTGTACAAGAGGTGATGGTTTCGTCAAAAGGATTTGTCGAAAGTGTGAGCGATAGACTAAAAAATTTAGAGGTAAGTCGATAAATCAATCAAAAATTTCAACATGACTTTGAATAAGTCAAATGAGTTGATTCGTGCGACATATTCGCCCCGTGCGTGACTGACGCGACACCTATTGCCTTCATCTGACAGTTTTGAACCTCCCAATTTGAGGTTAAACATATGTTAAATACATACGAAACTGACAATTATTAATAATTAGTTTTTTAATTATATTTTTTAGTTTATGTACAAAATGAATGTAGTATTAAAAAATGTAGTATTGTACGAGTATATTTGCATATGAGTACATTGCAAGAGAACATTAGGAAGATAAAAAGAATTTATATTATTGTCATTACATCATGATTCAGATATACATAGTAAATCCAGACTTTTAGTTTTAAGTAATATTTTGATACAATTTATTTTGTTTACAATAGATTCAGAGTTAATACATACGATTTTTAGTTGATTGGTATTGCCTTTAAAATTATTTGTAGTATCTAGTTTGCCTAATTGCCTGGTTTTGTTGAACCATTGAACCTTCAGGCCAGATACTGGGATTCAGAACTTCATTTTTATAATCCAATGGATCTATCTATCTATCTATACAGCCCTTAAAATCCATCCTTGGATATAGGCCTCCTCCTCCTTCTTCCATGCCTCTCTATCTTGGGCAATTTGCATCCATTTTGACCCGGCGTGTTTCTTCAGGTCATCTGACCATCGCATTTGTGGCCTTCCCCTTTTACGTTTGTGATTCCATGGTCTCCAATGTATAATTGTTTTAGTCCATCTTTCATCTTTCTGCCTTAGGGTGTGTCCGGCGAACTTCCATTTAAGCTTTGCTACTTGGGTTGAGACATCTTTCACTTTTGTTTTATTACGGATCCATTCGTTTCTTTTTTTGTCTGATAGTTTAATGTTCAGCATTTGTCTTTCCATGGATCTTTCTGTCTTTGCTATTTTATCCATATTTTCCTTTGTAAACGTCCATGTCTGAGAGCCATATGTGAGGACAGGGAGTATACATTGATTAAAGACTCTCGTTTTTAAGTATTGGGGGTATTTTGAATTCTTTAGAATATAAGACAGTTTTCCGAATGATGCCCAGGCCAATCTTATTCTTCTCTTTATTTCTTCGGTCTGATTTTCTTTATTTAATTTAGTGATTTGGCCTAGATATATATACTCTTTTACTTGTTCTATTTTTGTTTGTGCCACTGTAATCATAAGTTCTTCTGGTTGATTAGTCATGGTTTTTGTTTTACTATAATTCATCTTGAGTCCAATTTTTGTCGATTCTCTATCTAGTTCTTCCATCATTCTTTGCAATTCTTCACTTTTTTCTGTTATTAATACAATATCATCAGCATATCGTAAATGATTCAGATTTTGCCCGTTTATATTAATTCCCAAGTCATCCCAGTGTAGTCGTTTAAAAACATCTTCTAGCGCTTGGTTAAATAACTTGGGCGATATGGTATCTCCTTGTCTTACTCCTCGGTTTATTTTAATAGGCTCCGTTTGTTTCATTAGCTTAATAGTTGTTGTTGCCTTGTTGTATATATTTGTAATTAAGTCGGTATATCGGTAGTCTATTCTGCTGTTTTGTAGGGAATTCTGTACTGCCCAGTGTTCCACACTATCAAATGCCTTCTCAAAGTCAATAAATGCCATGTACAGCGGGATGCCATGTAGTATTAAAAAATGTAGTATTGTACGAGTATATTTGCATATGAGTACATTGCAAGAGAACATTAGGAAGATAAAAAGAATTTATATTATTGTCATTACATCATGATTCAGATATACATAGTAAATCCAGACTTTTAGTTTTAAGTAATATTTTGATACAATTTATTTTGTTTACAATAGATTCAGAGTTAATACATACGATTTTTAGTTGATTGGTATTGCCTTTAAAATTATTTGTAGTATCTAGTTTGCCTAATTGCCTGGTTTTGTTGAACCATTGAACCTTCAGGCCAGATACTGGGATTCAGAACTTCATTTTTATAATCCAATGGATATGAAACTTTAAAGCTTGCTTGGTACTCCGTAACCTTTAGCTTCTTGAAGTAGAAATGTATATTTGGAGCATTTACCTTTAAATAATTGGTCAAATCTTTCGTTGTCTGTTGTGTAATTATATTATGGTGTAAATAAATAATGATTGATTGAAGTAAGATTTATGTCTGTTTACTCTTAATATTAGCTATGAGCATGTGTGTTTGGTTGTAAATATAGTAATTGTCATCCACTTCTAGTCTGTTAAAATGTAACTAACTTTCGCAATAATATAATTACTGAAATACTAGATAGTTTTGTCTGAGATTAGCGAACCGACTATACATACACTACATACATTCAGTATCATTGTATATCCAAGATGGACGCCGCTATACAATAGCGGATTACATATTTTTTCACAACTACTTCAATATGGGTATCAAATGACTTAACTAGTAGAAAAGAGATTCAATATAGAAAATCCACATTTTGGCACTACACATTTTTAAATGAACAAATTTTAAACAAAGAACTTTTTCTGTATTTATAAATAATACTTCAATACTTACAACTATAAGAGTATTAGTATATTTTAAGTATATTGTAAGTAATGAAATATTTAACTTTTGTCAATATCTCATCTTAATAAATTTACAGTTTTCTCCTGATTAAGTCACAAAATTGTCACTAAATATTGAGATATACAACAAATAAAGTTTTAACATTTTTTATTTGTAATTCCCATTTAAAACTCCTAAATATTTTGTGTACTCCGATCCATATATTTGATCTTTTTTATTTATATTTAACGAATTAAACATTGACAGATAACTTTTGTATATAGCAAAAAGTTGATGAGTATTTAGTTTTTTTATAATTTAATGTAAATCATGAATGTGTTGCTTGTGTGAGTCCATTTCAAATAGGTAAAGAAATAATAAATAAGACTTACTCACAATCAATTTAATTTAACTATCAGACGACCGGTTTCGCTTTCTACAATATGCAAAGCATCCTCAGGTCTCGATACAAAGTTAAACAAATGCTGAAATAATAAAAACCCATATTAGGGTGTTGTCCAATAACGATAAACAAAGTAGGTGTTGTAAATTACAATAATTATGCCAATATTACATGTCTGTGGTTTTATTTAAATGAGTAAGTTGAATAAAAGGTATAAAATTTTTAAAAAGTTTAAACAGACAAGGTAAGGCCCACAAATTGTTATAAAATAGTCTCTTCGATTGTAATAAATTAATAAATGAGCAAATAAATAAATAAAATAAACATTACTTACATGCCGGTACTCTATTAATAGATGGATGGTAGAACATGGTTGAAACTACTTTATATTGTTGAGTGGAGAACTCAATTCTATTATTGCAGTTGTTTGACAGTAAACGAGATAGATTTGATCCAATGAAGAAGAGATATGTGTAAGATTGTTTGTTAAATGTAAGTGATGTAATATACCATTGTGTTATTAAAAGCTATTTATACTTATTCGACAGACTTCATGAAGACACACACAAGTTCAAAATTCATCGCGGAGTTCGCCAGGGCGACACCATTTCGCCAAAACTGTTTACAACATTATTGGAATACATGTGTAAGCGTGCAAACTTAGACGAAAAGGGCATAAACATAAATGGAGAGCAGCTTAGTCACCTCAGGTTCGCGGACGATATAGTCCTGATAACAGACCGCATAGATCATGCCATCGAAATGTGCGAAAGACTCTACCATGCCTCTACACAAGTGGGTTTAAAGATCAATAACTCAAAAACACAAGTGATGACAAACCTTGTTCTGAGTGAGAACATCAACATAGCTGGAACAAGTATAGAACAAACATCAGCATACAAATATCTGGGACACGAAATTCGCTTAAGTAGAGATAACCAGACCAATGAACTATTACGTAGAATAGGGTTGACATGGGCAGCTTATGGAAAGCTAAGAGATGTTTTCCAATCAGCCCTTCCCATCTGCTTAAAGAGAAAAGTCTTCGATCAATGTGTGCTGCCAGTTCTAACCTATGGTGCGGAGACGCTAACACTTACTAAGACGTCCGCAAACAAAATTCGAACAACACAGAGGGCAATGGAACGGTCCATGTTGGGATTAACCCTGAGAGACCGAATACCCAACACAGAATTGCGCCGTAGATCGGGAGTAACCGACGCAATCAAAAGAATATCAACCTTAAAATGGAACTGGGCAGGGCACGTCGCGAGAACGAAGGACGGCAGATGGACAAAACGCATTCTTGAGTGGAGACCCAGACAAGATGCCTTTAAAAATAGAGGACGACCACCAACAAGATGGACGGATGACCTGAAACGGACACATCAAAATTGGATGCAGGCGGCTCAGGACAGAAATTTGTGGGGTGAACTACGGGAGGCCTATGTTCAGCAGTGGACGAGTATGGGCTGAATGATGATGATGATGATGATGATGATGATGATACTTATTCGAGATATATACAGTATTGGAAGATTCAAAACGGAACATACGAATTATTAATACAATTATTAAGATCCCCTGACCTGCAATTACCCAGTGTAAATTTCAAGATAACGTCGCGATGTCTTATAATTAATTCATTTGTTCGACTGGATTGCTACTCCTTGGCGATTTCTAGTAGCGTATTCGACAGGTGTACGTCGACACTGTTGTCTATCGTCCACTGATTTTCTGTGTTTTTGTGCAGATAATAACAATGTTTTATTAATAACAATTTGTTTGTGTTCATTAGATATTATTTGAATTGGTTAGTGTATAGTTTAATATATTTATTATTCCAAATATTGTTGATAATTTAAAATTTAAAAGGATGTATATGATACATCAAAATCTACAGATTTTTGCCGAAGGTATCTATCGATTTGGCAACAGTCCCAAGGAACATCACTGGCCGAGCAAAACAAATACATGCCCTTTGCTTTGCTTCTCATTATAACGCCATAAGCTGAAATAAAAGTAGTGTTTCTAACCATAAACCATGTATACAAACAAAGAAAAAGTACAAATTTTAAAATGGTATTATGGGGGCAACTCGTACCGTGATATTATAAATTTATTTACTTGTGCGTATGAAGATAGGCCAATACCGACACAATCAACTATTAGTCGTATTATTAAGGTGCGCACGTGCGCAGCAGTCGAAAAATATCGACTGGAGAAGGAGTCCAGTCGAACAAATGAATTAATTATAAGACATCGCGATGTTATATTGAAATTTACACTGGGTAATTGCAGGTCAGGGGATCTTAATAATTGTATTAATAATTCGTATGTTCCGTTTTGAATCTTCCAATACTGTATGTTTGAAATGTGTGTTATTTATTGAGTAATTGTTTTATGAAGGTGACAATTTTATGACAATGAAAATAGAAAGCGAAACCGGTCGTCTGATAGTTAAATTAAATTGATTGTGAGTAAGTCTTATTTATTATTTCTTTACCAATTTAATGTAAGTTTGTTTATTTGCAACCATGTTTTTACAAACATGGTTTTTACAAACATTGAAGTCTTCTTCTGTTGTAATTTTAAGATTTTCCCAATTATCGGTCTAATTATGTTTCCAACAATTTTTAGTTTGAGCATTTTAGAAATTTCTTTGTTTCGCTTAAATCAAATATTCTCGTGTATAAAACCCTCTATATATTTTTATTTCCTAAAAATACTATATTCGTATTGTTGTCTTCGAGCGTGCTGACACCAGGCCAACATCTGTTGATTTTTTGACCTGAGCCTTCGGAAATAATAAATTTAATGTTTTCATCTATCCCTATCCCTTGGCAGACCAAAAGTTTATTTTTTTATTGCTCCACTTAACGAGAGCTCGGACGGACACGTCGGCGTCGGCTTACTGTTCGAAAGTCAAACTAATACTATTATGTAATAACTAATAATAATTACAATGCAATAGTAATTACCTGTTATTATTCTTAAGAAATCTAAATAAACTTATTCCTTTTCTTGTCACAGATGAACATCCGCGAAACGCACAACAATAACCAGAAGACATTTTAAATATAAATTAAACTTTTAATTATAAACTATAACTATAAACTTATATATATATATATATACATATAATATATATATATATATATATATATATATATATATATATATATAACTTATATATTTTAACTATAACTATAAACTATAACTATAAACTTTTAACTACTAAGTAAATTAGATAAATGGTCAAATGCACTTATATAGTCGAGTATTTACCATATGCGCCTACGGACTATCGTAAATCAACCAGAGTTGAAAAATAAGCACGTGGTTTTGACAGTAAAGCCACAAAGCAACCAGGATCGGGCATGCGTATACAAAAACGGTACACGTTTTTCGGCGGTAGTGTCGCTTCTCTGTGTTCGTAGTTCTCTGGCTGTACTGTCGCGACGTCCAGATGTGTATGAAAATTTTTGAGAAATACTCCAGCGTACCAAGTCCCTAGGGCTCGATAACAAGGAAAGAGTCCCAACAGAATCACCAGAGCTTTGATACCATAGGTATTTAGGATGAGTGAATTTTTCCCTTAAGAGGGAGTGTGAGCCGTATGGCTAAATCTGATTAATTACATATTAATATAATTAATAATATGATTATTTTTTGGCAAAATTGCCAAAAAATCTATTGCTGTAATTTTAAGGTAAGGTTTATTATGTAAAATAATTTAAAGCCTTATTTTAAATTATATACCTTTTATAAATTTTTATAATTTTAAATAAACTTTTGTGATTGATGGTGTACAGCCAACTATAGGAATTTTATTTTCTTTGTGGATATTAGAAAATAATTTTAAATATCGATTTGCATGCTCCTCTCAAGGTGCGAATATGTACACGCCTGTATATCACCTCTAGGATCATAACATGCCAAACAACTAATATGAAATTAATGCACTGTATATTCTTTTAAGATGGGGAACATTTAAATCTAATAGAAATTAAAAATGATTACATTTAGGTATAGGGAATGATACATAAAAAATTTTCAGAATTTCTTAGTTAATATAAAAATCATAAAATATATAGACTGGTCTCTTTGGAAATACAAAATACCCTATATTAACCGTAAAACGGAAAACCTGACAATTAGCCGTTTCGAAAATAATTCATATGTTCTTACATTTTCCTGATATTGTATAGGTTTGCACATATTTTTAAAAATTTTGTATATTAATGGCACATATTATGAGTATACACTATATATCCATAAATTTTCATTTTTAGGTGACCAGCATAGTTGAATTAAGCGACTCCGACGATGACAAGGATCTTACAAATGGAACCAAAAAGAAAAAGAAACACAAGAAGGCAAATTCAGGCAGTACAGCGACAACCTCCGATTCAGAAGGCAGTGTAATAGAAATTATACATACTGATGATGAATCAGAGAATACTAGTTGTGTTATGAGTACTGTAAAGAAAGGACCCGGTAGGCCGAAGAAGAATACCGAGGACATTTCAAAACGTTCCCACGAACTCGAAACTAATAAAGACAATGGTAGTGGTAGTAGTACCGAGAGTACCCCTAGTAAAAAAAGCCGGACTGATGACTCCAGTGAAGTCGAAAGTGACACAAACAAACAAGACAACCACGAAATAAATTGCCCACTGTGCTCCAAATCTTTTCCAAACCAAAATAGCCTTAGTACTCATATACAACATCACAATTTAGAAAATAGTTTGCGAAGTACTACAAAACCTAATTTGGAATATCGACACAACTGCGATAAGTGCCAACAGACCTTCAAGAATTCTATACTGTTGAAGAAGCACGTTTGCAATATTGGCAAAGAACTCAAAAACGCGCACAAGTGTGGAGTATGTTCCAAAACGTTCAAGGACATAACCCTTTTTAACATCCACAAAAAATCTCATATCAAAGAAAATTTAATAAAAACTACCACAGTTGTTAGCATATCACCAAAGAAGTTCACACCTAGGCCATCAACCAGCTTATCAAAAACACCTTTCAAAGCTCCAGCTAGCTTTAAGTGCAAAGAATGCTCAAAAGTTTGTTCTTCCCAAACTATACTTACAATCCACGAAAAATCGCACAAAAAGTTTTTCTGTGCCAATTGTAATATGAGCTTTACCTCAAAAATCTTGTTGGACACCCATGTCCGTATAAAATGTGTGAAGAACTCTTCACCGAAGGATAGAAGATTATCATTTAAAATCAGAAAGTCGTTTATTAGTTCTCCACGGATGAGTTCGATCAGAGGCAAAAGCTTCAATACACTAAAACCTTCAGCCACTGCCGCTGCTACTAATAACACTAGAAAAAGCAGTGTTACTAATAGTGCCAGAAAGAGCATACTTCCTAGCAGTAGTGCAACAAAAAGCGCTGGTCCTAGCAACGGCGTTAGAAAAACCCTTATTCCTAGTAGTAGTACAAGAAAAAGCATTATTCCTAGTAGTAGTGCAAGAAAAAGCTTCCTTCCAAGCAGTAGTGCAAGAAAAAGCGTTATTTCGAATGATAGTGCCAGAAAAAGCTTTGCTCCCAGATCTACAAGTGCTAGTTCAAGTTTAGGGATAAATAACAGCATTAGAACGAAACAAATTTTAAATCCACTATTTAAAGATAGCGGTAATACAACAAAAAACGTTAATTCGGGATTGAATACTAGCAATTTTGTAAAGAATTTGGAAGTAGAAATCCAGTGCGATTCTTGTACCATGAAATTTACAAATTGGACAGCGTTGTTTAAGCACAAAGTTAAGGTAAGATTTGTTTCTAATTTGTTCACTTCCTGTACATTTCAATATCCTTGTGCCGCCCGTATTTTTGAATTACCATAGTCTAGGTTAAAGGACATTTACTATAAGTAGATCGAGCTCACATTTTTTATTAGGATTTCACAAGAGGATAATAATTAACAACCCCACCAGTGATTGACTTCCTCCTCCTCTATCCTTTATCCTTAGTAAGGATGTGGTGACGTTATGGTATTTGACGAATGTTTGCTATCCATTCTTCTCTCTCCTGGGCGCGGTGTGCTGCCTCAGACAGAGAGTAACCGGTAGCGCACTTTATTTGGTCTGACCATTGGAGTGGCGATCTTCCTAGAGTTCTTTTACCATCTACCTTGCCTTCAACCACCAACCTCTCCATGTCTTCCATTCGTCTGGTAATATGTCCAAAGTACCTCAATATATTTTGGTTGATGATTGTGGTAAGCCTAGAGTTCTGTCAATATTAAGACATTTGTGCGATGTACTGTCCAGGGTATGCGCATCATTCTACGATATACCCACATTTCAAAGACCATTATACGTCGTGAGTCGGACTTTTTAATGGTCCAAATTTCTGATGCATATGTAGCGATAGGAAAGATAAGCGTCCGTACTAGCCGCAGTTTCGTGTTCCTGATTATGTCAATATCTTTCCAGATTTTAGTAAGTTTGAACGTTGCTGATCTGGCCATTGTAAGGCGTCGACGTATCTTTTCTTCGCATCCACCATTGATTGTGATAACAGAACCTAAGTAATTGAAACGATTTACCACTTCAAACCCCGCTACGTTTCGTATTTCCGGCTGGTTATTTCTAATTCGATCGATTATCATTACCTTGGTCTTCTGTACATTAATTTTAAGTCCATATTCACGACTAATAGTATCTAGTCTCTTCATGATGTATTCAAGGTCATTTGTTGATGATGCTAGTACTAAAGTGTCGTCAGCATAGCGGAGATTGCTGGTTTTTCTGCCTCCGACTGATATTCCTCCTTGCCATCCGTCGAAAACAATGCGCAGGAGGTGTTCGCTATATATATATATATATATATATATATATATATATATATATATTTATTATATATATATATATAATATATTATATATATATATATATATATATATATATATATATATATATATATATATATATATATATATAATATATTATATATATATATATATTATATATATATATATATATATATATATATATATATATATATTAAATAACGTGAAAGAGGTAATACATTCTTGACGAACAACGGCTTTTAGTTTAAAATTATCGGATGATATGTTGTTGACTCTTACGTTTGCTGTTTTGTTGATATACAGTTGTTTCACTAGGTATATTAGATGTTGGGGGGTACTCATTTCCCTCAGTATTCCCCACATTTTATGCCACTTTACATCATCGAACGCTTTCGAGTAGTCGACGAAGCACAAATATGTTTCTAAATTAAATTCTCTAGATTTTTCCATAATTTGTCTGAAATTGAGAATTTGTTCTTGTGGGATCTGTGGTAGAAGTATTGATTTTTATCTCTGTTAATTATAGTTAGAAGAACTTTACTTGCGTGGGAGATCGGGGCTATAGTGCGGTAGTTATTACAGTCAGTTGGTGAGCCTTTCTTATAAATGGGTATGAAAGTGAGCGTACACCAATTATCTGGCCATTGTTCTGTGTTCTAGATTTCATTACACAGTTTGAACATTACTTCAATTCCTATGTCTCCCATTTCTTTAAGTGCTTCCGCCGTGGTTCCGTCTTCTTGAGATTTTCCAGTTTTTAATTGTTTTATTGCGGTTTCTATTTCCGATTTTAAAATATGTAGTTCCTTTTCGTCATTTATTTCTTCTGGATTCACGTCTTCATGTTTCAAGTTATCTTTAATTATCTGCGTGTGTGGTTTGAACTCTCTAGTTAAGTATTTTACTTTGGCAAACAGTTCTCTAGACTCTTGACGGTCGGCGTGTTCTTGTAGTTGTTTGCATATTTCTTTAATATGATTATTCTTTTCTCTTCTACTTGATTTTATGCGTCTGTTTACATTTGCTACCTTGTTTTCAGTTTCTGTTGGATTTGAAGCATTGTTTCTAATTTTTCTTCGTTCTTCTTCAGGTTCAGTGTCTCATCAGTCATCCAGTGTTTTTCTTTCCTTGGGGTTTCTTACTTGATTGACTTAAAAACTGTTTATTCCCGTCTTGCAGGTATAACCGTCTTATTTAAGGTCCCCCGATGCAAATCCCAACATGTCCCCGAGAAGTAAATCTGAAAATAAAAACGAAAAAACTGTTATCTTCATTTTTTTTCCTTAAAATTGGAAGACATTGTTGCTAATATAAGAAAACAGAATGGGAATGAGAACAAGTTAATTTTTTACTCGATATAAATGAATAGACGGTTTTGATAGTTGAAATGTGTAGTATAAGATATTACAAAAGACCCTCTTCTAGGAATTGGTCAATTTTTTAGTGGAAATATTTTTAAATAAACAATCAAAACGTCATTGTATTATTAAAGGATCAGAAAACTATTATATCGTCACAAATTTTTAAAAAATAACCAATTCAGCTGAATTTTGACAAAAAAAATCACTTAAACCCTTAGCATTCTGAATGGCCAAGTAATTACATTTACTTACATAACTATTACATTTACATAACTATTACATTTTTTACAAAAATTGGTATTGAATTTCTTGTTCTTTACAAGAAAATATTGAATTTTGAAAATGTGTTACCTAATAGTTTTAATATCATAAGCTGAATAATTTATTTATAATGGGAAACACTGCAAAATAAACAAAATATGACAAAAGTATCTAAATCTACACTAAGTAAGATTCACTCATACTCCGAGTCCAGCACTGCTGTATCTTACATATTATCTTCGCCAAACTTAGTTTGTTACAATGACGACTCCAACGTTTCAGTATCTTCTTCAGACATTTCGTTGACGGTATTTCTTTTTGATTTACTTTTGTGTTTATGGGAAGGTTATTATAGAAGTCGTGGAAACCGGTGGAGTAAAATCAAGAAATTTTTAAATATTTTGTAAAAATATTTAACAAATAAATTTGATTTGATTTTTATCGGCTGAGCGTTAAGATTTTTTTAAACATGTTCAGTTAAACATTCAGTTATGTTTCCATAACTGAATGAAATTATAATAGTAGCAAAAGAACAACAAGGTTTTAGGTCGGGAAGATCATACACCGACGCTATATTTTTAATGAGGCAAGTGCGAGAGAAATCATTAGAATACAACAAACCGGAATATCTATGTTTCGTGGAACTTAAGAAGTCATTTGACTAGGCCAAATTAAAAAACGTTATCCACTTACTGTACGCAAGAGAAATACGTCTAGGAATAATCAAAACGATCGGAAATATCTACCAAAACAACACAATAAAAATAAAAGTAGAAGAAGAATTAACCGATCCTATTGAAGCTGGCAATGGGATAAGATAGGGAGATTCTATGAGTCCTCTATTGTTCAAGCTGATTTATGGATGAAATAATAAAAAAAGTAAGAACTAAAAAAGGATACCAATTGGGAGAAAAACAACTTAAAATAATCTGCTATGCAAACGACGCAATACTACTCTCTCAAAGTGAAGATGATTTACAATGTATGCTGCACAAATTTAATATAACCGTCAGAAAATTTAACATGTTAATTTCCTCAAAAAAGACAAAATGCATGGTTACAACAGCAAATTTATTAAGATGTAAATTGGAGCTGTAAGGTCAGATAGAACAAGTGATGTGAGTTTAAATATCTAGGCGTTACATTATCTAGCTATGGAAAGCTCGAAACTGGAGTAGAAAATCAAGTGAATAGAGCAAACAGAGCCGCAGGCTTCCTGGACTAAATAATATGGAGAAATAAAAATATCGGGAAAGAAACGAAAGGCAGAATTTACAAAACAGTCATCAGTCCAATAATGACATACGCGGCAGAAACAAGACCTAACACAGAGAGGACAAAGAGGATGTTAGAAACAGCAGAGATGAAAACACTTAGAAAAATTGATGGTAAGACGCTATGGGACAGAGCTAGAAGTGCAGATATACGACGTAGATGCAAGGTGGAGAACATCAAGAACTGAGAAAGAAATAAAAGAGTAGAATGGAACGATCATATAAGCCGAATGACAACAAATAGAGTGGTAAAGACGGCAAGAGACGGTTCCCCAATAGAAAGAAGATTTTTCATATAAAAAATAGCGCACTTGTCTCCATTTCAAAAATCTTCCATTTGATCGTTGTCCTTTAGTCTATTTTTTTAGGGTCGTTTAGTTTTAGAACTGTAAAAGTTTTCTTGAAATATTTGGTGCACAGTAAACTTGTTACAAGATGATTGAATTACCTGAACCCAGTTCTCTTGGACAAATGCCTGTGGATTCTTACTCTTCACTTTTTTTCTTATTCAAAATCTCTGTCGCATTCCATAAATGAATGGCCTTGTTGAATATGAGTACATTTAACCAAGAACATAAGCAGATTTACAATGTTTTTATTTTTGTTCTGCCCACCACAGCAGTCGCTATATGCTATGATCTTTGTAACACTTTTAGAAAGTATATTTTTTAGAAAATGAATGAGACACGAACTAATTTCTTGAAATCCTCTGCTGGAAACAGATTCATCCCAATAAAACAGTTCTGATCTTTGTCAGTACAAATTGTGACCAAAGCTGTCACAAATAAAATGCTTGGGAAGTAATTATTAAGGGAGTGGGAAGGGTTTGCTGAAGATCAAAACAGATGCTTTGTATTTTTTACTCTCTTGTTTTCCATTGTTTCGGTCGTCTTTACTTTTCGTTGGCGAGGAGCTTTTTGTTCATCTGCTGAATATTCTATAATATTTCTATAGATGTCACATGTTCTGCATGTATGTGAGTTTGGACTGTGAATAAAATTCTTGATTAAATTCCGTATTGAAAACGTGCCTATTTTATGAGAGCTTCATTGGATTCTCGTGTTGTTCTTTACATTGTTGAATATATAACTAGTCTATTTTGTTTCCTTGAATAATGGCATATATTTTGGAAATTTGGATATATGCTCAATAACACTATTCTGTGAATCCTCTTAGTAGATCCTTGTCCTCTTGGCTCTTTTTCACATACACCAACCTGATCAGTTTTATAACATACAGTTCTAAATCTATTCTTACTTATGTTTAATGTTCGAAGAAACATGACGTTTCACCTAGATAAAAATGTTCACATTCACAAGGTATTTCATTTTATTATTTTATTTTTTAAAGACATCTCACGCTATGATTTTTCCCCAAAAGTCGTCCCAGGAACGCAATTCAAAAATATTGACAATATCATTGTAAAGTAATCTAAATATATGTATATTTTGTATTTTTTAGAACCATGGGCTTCACACTCCTGACAAAAAAGTCTTAGAACCAAAACGGAAAGGGATTCACAAACCGCTTACTTTGCATGGAGGCATTCCCGCTAACGAGAGATTAAACAAAGCTTTCCAGATATTAAGACGAAATTTGGCGATGGTCGATGCTGATACAACCGAAGAATCAACACTAGGAGACAAATCTGAACAAAAAAAAGATACTGTACTGCCGCAAATAGTCATATCTGAGCCTAGTCACACTAAACAATAATTTTAAACTATTTAATCTATTCAACGGTTTATTTTATATTTATTTTTATTGTTGGATGGAAATAGTTAGTTTATATATTTTTTAGTAAATATGGCGTGTTCGCGATTGCACAACTGGTAAATTTATTTCAACTGTTAGTGCGAATAAGTACAACAAGCTCTTTTAATCTAAGAAATAGAAAGAATTACAATAATAATATAAGTCGGGAACAAAATTATATATATATATATATATTATATATATATATATATATATATATATAATATATATATATATATATATATATATATATATATATATATACGTACTATCGTATGAAAATCTACTTTTATATCCTGTTCAATCTGTTGTAAGTTGCTTGTTGGTTTCTCGATTGCTTTCTTAAATTTATATTGGTCTCCTATATAATTTCATTTTATAGTTATAGATTGCCTATTGTTTCATTATTGTTTTTTAATATATTATATATTTTATACTCCTCATAGTTCCGAAATAAGAACCCACTATACTGAAAAATATAAAAGGTTTTATTTTTTAAATTAATCTGCCTTCAATGTATTTATTCTACTGATCAAAAATAGACTTGTTTATCTCAAGTCTTATCTCAAAATATTGTATTGATGTTTTATCCATTACAACTTTATTTAAACTTATATCCTAAAATGATATTCTAAAACCCTAAATTAAAAAATAAAATATCACTTGGAATCATGTTAGTAGGGATATTTAAATTTCTGAAAGTTATTTCGGCTGTAGTGATCATCGTCGTACCATAATATTGTAGCCGTTATCTTTTTTGTTTATTGACCAGTTTTCCCTATAATGAAAAGACATTAATCTAATTATCAACAATAAACATAAAGATTTCGCTAATTCTGTTTAGTCGACCGACTGGAAAGAGAGACAATATTTGTTTTTATTTCATGATCATTTGTAATTACGTAACGAAATTGTCTGTCAAACCGGAAATTTATTGTAGTGCGAACTTTTTCTTTTGATTTTAGCAGAGTTAGAGATGATTTAACTATTTTGATATCACTATTATGTTAATTAGTACAACAGGGAACTTGCATAATTTTTAATTTTTTTAATGCTCTGATAATTTAAAACTTCGAAAATAAACAGTGTTCTGTAAATTAATATGGTTTAGAGAAATTTTTATACAGAGTAATCAACTTTTGTGTCATTAGTACAACAGAAAACTTGCATAATTTTTAATTACGGCCAAAGTGAGGAAAATTATTATCTCTTATTGCCTTTAATATTGTATCCAATGTAGCAATATCCTTGTTTAAATAGAACCAATGAACTTTTCTCCGAAGGACATTTCTATGAAAGTCATCAATTTTTATTGGTTGTTTTTCTTCGTGTCTTTTTGGCTTAGTAATGCTTCCTTGTTTTCTTTTCTTTCACTTAAATATCTGTCAAATGTTTCTTTCACTAATACACTGGATACAGGAGCACATAGTCACTACAGTATTAACTATTGTTTACACGAACATTTAACACAATAGTTTTTTCTTTCAAAGAATACGCGTCATTTTTAAGTTTAGCAGCAAGAAATTGAAACGATAATGCCATTTTAACGATGGACTGAACTGCTAACTAATAACACGAGCGGTATCAAATTCGTCACAACTTTCCATTACTCGAACGGTAGGTAGGTAGGTACCCCAAATATGATCTGTCAAATTTGTTAAAATTATTAATAAAGAATTTTCCCCTAATGAGACATGTCACTATGTAATAGTGTAGATATACCTTATAAATCCAAAAATAGTACTAATATTAAAAGAAATGTTTCTTCGTGAAAAAATTACAGAACGGAAACAAAATACACAACATTTACAAAATTCGTAACTAAAAAAATGAATGCATAATTCGTAATTTTTCAAAAAAAAAAAATGGTTTCAACTACATCCGTACGGCAATGGTTTTTGGCCTTGACGGTAACCGTTAATCTCTATTTAATATTTTGCATTTGTAATTTTTGAACAAATTGACTTTAGATGTTTATACTTACACGATCATTAACAAACGAACCTATGAAAGTCACTATTCGCTTCTCTACTTAACGTGATGTGGGTATTTCCTGTTAGATGGACCTACTGCATTAGAATATTGTAGCAGTCTGCCATTTTTGGCCCACCGTAAAGATTAAAGTGCGAGTTATTACAAAACGCGCTTTATTCAATATGTAACTTTAAATACAAAATTATAATACTCTTTTATGCTTTTACAATGCATTATGGAAATAAACGTATTACGTTGGTAGTTTTACTTCTTACCAATAAGGGGCAACGCTTTTCAAAACTAGTGCCGTCAAAATGCGGCGAATTAAATTTAAATTACATTTAAAATAAATAATATCTATTTTATATCATTTCAAAAATAAAATTATGTTGCTGTGGAATGATTAACTTCTATTTTATTAACAAAACAAAAGATTTTTAATTCATGCAAGTTCCCTGTAAATGTTCGTTTTATAATAAATTGAAAAACTATTGTCTAAATGTTAAAAACATTAACTGATACTTTTTTTGGTGTTAAGTGACTCTGTGAATATATGTAACATGTTTATTTCAATTTATCGGTTATTAGTAACGATTTAATTTAATTTGTCGCCCTGTGTAGATAAATCTTTTTATATTGCAATGAAAGGTATAGGCTGTTGATCACTGTAACTATTTTATTAGTCTGGAGGAAATTATTTACAAGTAAATCAAGTAGTTAACCTACCAAGAGATTAAATATGAAGCGTTGAGAACCAGAGCGGACCAACAATGTTGAAACATTAAATAGAGAAAACAGAATAACAAAAACTGGTATTTTAAAGAATTTTTTGTCTTACATAAAAGTGTTAAATTTTTTTAGTATGAAGCACTGGCAATAGTAGTGGGTATTTTGTAACGGATTGTCCAAGAAAATGTGTTTTTTTTTATTTACGAAAATAATGTGCGTTGATCCGCTTTGGTATTTAGAAAATCTTCCATGCATGTAGAATAGTCCTATTAAAAATAGACATAACTATGGAATAGCTTTATTGTTAGTTACGTAAAAATACAAAAGTATATAAACTTAGTCCAAATCATCTCCTCGCAGTGAAATTTCGTCCTGAACAGTATCTGAGCATTTGAGATCTTTATAAAAGTCATGATAGATCGGTGAAATAAACTCGGTCAATTGCAACAGGTCTTTTTTTTTTGGCTGGAGTTATAACATTTCCATCAGGATAAATAGGTAATTTATCCTTCAAACGATCCTTTGGTATATTCCAATATTAAATTTTTGAAGTTGATGAAGATCACTTTACCATATTTAAAACAAATAATACAAGTATCATCTTTTTTTAAACTAATGCTGTGAATTTTTAACCACTCGACTTTCGATACATCCTCCAAGACTTTCCTATGTGGAGCATGAAAGTGTAAATCAAACTTTGTATTGAAAATATTTCGAAATAATAACTCGGAAACAGGATCCGTTGTTGATTTCTTGTATTTATTAAAAAGAATACGAATTTTTAAATTAGGAGATAAATATTTTCTTTCTGTTTTGTGTCGTGCATAGTGAGAAATATATGATGGTATTTTTTCGATAAAATCACAAACTGCTTTAACAGTTTTCGGGTGGGGTTTTATTAGCAGGCGGATGTCTTCCACGTTGGTCTGTTGTTGAACTAGATTCTGTTTTTTCTTCGCCGTTCGATCAAGTTTACCATAGCTGACGTTCAGTACTTGCTTAAATAATATTTTGCATATTTTGATGTTGTTGCCTTCATTGTGAGGTAAATAGTAATGTCGTCTGAAATTCTTGGATTTTCTTAAAACTTCTATTATTTGAATAGTGACGTGCAACTCCTAATACCTTTACTTGCGAAAAAATAAATGCACTTTGCAAGTCGGTACTAGCAAGACCATAAAACTTTTTATTGATCTGCTCTTGACTTTCGGTGTTCAACAATCTTACCTTTAGTGCTTGGGTACTCTTTTCCACTCGCCCGTAAAAACTTACGTTTGTTTTTCTTCCAGTTATTCTCGTAGCGTATGCGTTTCTTCGATTTTGGCTTGTCTTTAAGCAGTTCTGGACTTAGATGTTGGGAATCCATTTCAGTATCACTTGCAAACTCCAACTCTGAAGGCACATATTCGTCCGAACTAACATTATCTTGGTACTGTAAGGGTTCACTATCAGATTCAGCTTCTAAAAATGATATAGAACTTTGAGGCAAATGTGTAGACAAAGTTTTTAAATAAATTTATTTGAAATATATTTATTGAAACTAGCGATTGTACCTACAGAAAAAATCCTAACAGTATTAAAACCACGTGTTTTACTGACTTATTTTCAAAATTTTACTTCACTAAAAAACAAGAAATAATACATACCTTCAATTTCATGTTGATAAGAAATATTCTGTTTAGACGTAGAAGCCATTTTACACGCTTTTTAGGCTGTACTGTGTAGAAAACACTTTTAATATCAGCAGGTACTACTATCATGCGTTAATAAGTCACTAACAATTTAAAGGTTAAACTGGTATTCCCAGAAACCAAAGCGGACCATGCCATATAATCCAGTCTGGCTCGCAAGTATTGTTGTCTTAAACAAAATGGACGATCCTAATACATACTGCCATCTGTTGTAGAGTAGAGGAAATTCATATGGTCCACTCTAGAATTGAAGGAAAGTAAATGGTTTAAAACCAAACTTATCTAAAATTTCACAATTTTGTGGGATGGTCCGTTCTGGTTCTCAACGCCTCATAAAAGTACGAATTTGTCACTAGTTTAGATGAATACTGCGTGATCAACAGTCTTAATCATTCCATTTATCTCCAATAAAAATATTTCGTCATTCAAAAATGATAAAATTCGATCTGCAAACACAATTAATTGAATCTGACTCTGGCCATGAAAGCCTACGTTTCCAGTTGTTACTTAGAGCTATTTACAAAGGGGAGAAACGTGTGTTTCTGGTAGGTAATTTCGATTTATTAGTGACCTATAGCAAATATAGTTTTGGCTTGTGTTTCGCTTTTTAGATTATTGAGAATTTAGAGAAATTAGAGAATGGGTATATGAAACGAATATCTTGTCTTTTAATAT